TATATTATGCAGGGCAGTGCTATGCCAGTGGCTGCTTGGAACAGTAGCCGCTTTCTGTGGCGCGTTCCCGCCCAGTATTTTGCGAACGAACCCCCCCCCCCCCCCACTTCCCCCCCAGAAAAAAACCCCACAAAATCTGGCTTCAATTCATGGTTGGACAGCGAAGCTGTGAACGACACCCAGAACGCACTGCTGCGTCACTTTGATTGGTCTTCCGCGTTCGATCCGCACAAAAGGGATGGCGTGAGACATTCCCCAGGGGCGTCGGCCAAGAAGTGTTGTGTCAGATTTTTCAGACTAGCCATACATATTTCATTGTAAAAAAGTGTCTGACTCGACGCGTTTATAGACATGATGCATTGATTTGGGTCATCCAAAGCGTGGTCATCCAACAGCAACAACCTGCTGTCGACCTCTCTTTCGTTTGCCCCCCCCCCGTGTCTAAGAAGCATAAACTTGGTATGCGAGTTGAAGCGATTGCAGTTGAACCTATAGAGCGTACTCTGGAAAGAACGTCTATTTAGGTTTGTGCCCTTGACCCTCTAGACACGACACCGAGTTACTTTTTTTTTTTTTTTGCCCGCGGTCATGGAGACAAGACCGTTAGGGGTATATATATAAAACGAACTGGCATTATTGCAGGGACGACTGGCGTGGTTTCCACCCACTCACCAACCTTCTCTGGGTGCATCACGTGACGAAGGAGCTGCGTCGACGCTACGAGCGCAAATTCGGCAGCTCGATGGACGACATTGAGTCAGTGACCTGGTCTAGGATTGGCGACTGGGAGCAGCAGCTCTGCGAGCACGCATCGCTGGCGGAGTTCGTCGAGAAACGATGCATGTCGTCCTTCCTGAAGGACTCGCGAGACCGGCACACCGGTGCCATAACGACGGCACCGTGAAGGATGCGCGAAAACAGAACACGTTTTTTACAGAATTCTTTCGGCAATAACGCTCTACCCTGCGCTGTCTTGTTTAATAGAATCTCGATACCGTTGAATCCTCACATACAAAATTCGCAGCAAAGCAAAAAAGGATCAATTCGATATATGGTGTAGTTCAACATAAAACTTTGTTTCGTTAATTTTTGTGCAACAGTACTGTGAGCCATTGCACAGTCCTATTGAGAAAGTGGACAGCAAAGATAAACTTAATATGGAAGTAATATAATTGAGTAAAACAAAAGAAAAACACAACGAGAATTGATAAACAAGCATTATGGCAATCAGCATAAAACTTTGCCATGTATCTTATAACAGCAAAAACAAATGCTTACAACTGCAACTATAGTCATGTCACCTAAATGAAGTATAAAATTAACCCAATAACGTCACACATCTGAAGCACCATACATTTACACGAGCTCCTTTGTTCCGTACGCCTACAATGAATTATGCTGCTAGGTGCGTGCTCATGCGCAATCGAAATGTGGTTTTCTGGCTACGCTATTGATTTACTGGCTACGCTATTGATTTACCGCATTTTCGATGTGAATTTCTATGAGCCCGGTGGCTACTAAGTACTGCTTCTTAAGAAAACAATTATGGTGGCTTCACTGCAACAGGAGAAGGTAATTTTGATTTTACTCTAAGAATCTTATACGTTTTTCAGTTCGCGATGCAAGTTCTATACAGGCGTGGATTGCAAAAAACGTTCCAAAAGCCCGGTGAGTTCATAATTGAAATTGTGTACTCCGAGTTGACAGAGCAACGTATAAGGCGTGGCCAAACGTCTGTGTAGTTTTTGTTATGTTTTGTTGTTTTAACTTGGAGTACATATCGACGCGATAGCGTTAAATAACTTGTATTCGCAGAAATTCCTGCGTTGTTGTTGGGGGTCGGCGTCGTTGATTGTGAGCGAAAAATATTGTGCGTGACCGAAAAAATTGAGAAAGATGCAAATAGAATAAACTATTTTAAGTGTGAGTGAGGATCGAACCAGGGTGGTTTGCGTGGAAGGCGGGTGTTGTACCACACATCCACGCGTCTGCTTGGAGAAACAAGTGGAAATAACTTCCTCTGCTTGGAAATGCTGTGATAGTAACTTTCATATGCTTTACCAAACACACGCATCCTGCATACATGCCTCCCAATGCGACATGTGATACCGCAGTAATAAGGACGCGTTCACACTGAGCATACCGGCCGCCGAAAATGCGACGAATCCAAATCGGCGGCGGCCAGGTCTGCCGAAAGGGCCCTCTCCACGATCATCACTCTCGGGCTGATTTTTGCGGCGTCTGCCGCCGAAGCGGTCACCGCGGACCAATAGGAGTGCTAGTCAAGGAATTTTGAAAAATGGCGGCCAAGATCTACTCACTTGTTATGCTGCAGTGCACGTAACTGAATGTTGAAACCAACGGGAGTTTAACCTACTCTGTGCCTACTTCGCCTCCGTATTTCGTGAAAGAGGTGACCGAGCTTGCTGTTGGCGTGACCGAGCTTGTTGCGGTCTTGCAGAGCAAAACGAAACCACCAACGCCACTGGCGTCGGCGGTTTTTCTGCTCTTCGTGCATTACAAGACAGCCACTTGCCAGCAAAGTAAGCAATACTGTCTTTTCTTGCTTCTTGTGTACGAGAATCGTCGAAGTATACACCACCGGATAGCGTAGTAGCGTTTGCGAGCCGCGTCAACAACCGGGTGACAGCGCATCCATCCCGCGTTCGTTCCGTAGTAGATAGCATATTCGGCGGCGCGGGGCGCGTCCAGTGCGAACGACGCTGCGTTTCGGCGGCAGGGGAATTTCGGTCGCTGTAGAAAGCGGATGTTTCAGTGTGAACTAGGCATAAATCAGTGGCGGCCAGATTTGCCGAAAGGGCCCTCTCCACGATCATCACTCTCGGACTGATTTTTGCGGCGTCTGCCGCTGAATCGGTCGCCATAGGAGCGCTAGTGAAGAAATTTCGAAAAATGGTGGCGAAGACCTACTCGCCTTGTCATGTCGCACGTAACTGAATGTTGTAACCAACGTGCGTTTAACTCACTCTGTGCCTTTCCGTCCCCTATTTCGTGGAAGAAGAGGTGACCGAGATTGTCGTTGGCGTGACCGAGCTTGACGCGGTCTGGCAAAGCAACACGAACCCACCAACGCCGCTGGCGTCGGCGGTTTTTTCTGTTCTTCATGCATTATAAAGACAGCGACCTGCCAGAAAAGTAAGCAGTACTGCTTCTTCTTGCTTCCCGAGTTCGAGAATCATCGAGAACTAGACCCGGAAGGATACGCTGCTAATGGTACTGCCAGATATGTCCAATTCTTTGTTCCCCTTCTTCCTTCTTGCTAATTTGTCTTATATATTCTGGTTTATCGAATTCTTCTGCACTTTTTCACGTTTTTTTTCAAAGGAACATTATTATTGTTCTTATCTAATTTCTCTTTTTTTAACAAGCGTTGTTTAAAAAAATTCCTATTATAAGGTACAGTTGGCCAATCCCCCTTGTGGGTATGAGTCAAGATCTTCTAGGCTGACAAGACGAGACAAGACTAGACCACCGGATAGTCTTGAGGCGTTTGCAAGCCGCGACAACAACCGGATCACAGAGCATCCATCTCGCGTTGGCCCCGGGGTAGATTGAATACTCGGCGGCGCGGGGCCGTGTCCAGTGCGAACGACGCTGCGTTTCGGAGCTGTAGAAAGCGGATTCTTTAGTGTGAACTAAGGGTAATGCGTGGTACAAGCGTACGTTGCGATTGGGCGTCAAAACGTGTCATTATCACGACTTCGTACATGACTTCACTACAAAAGGCACACACATTACTGTTCCTTTTCCCTTAATTCCACGTAGCGGGTGCATAGGAAGCTCGAAAAGATTTCATGACCACAATTGATTGATTGATTGATTGATTGATTGATTTGTGAGGTTTAACGTCCCAAAACCACCATATGATTATGAGAGACGCCGTAGTGGAGGGCTCCGGAAATTTCGACCACCTGGGGTTCTTTAACGTGCACCCAAATCTGAGCACACGGGCCTACAGCATTTCCGCCTCCATAGGAAATGCAGCCGCCGCAGCCGGGATTCGATCCCGTGACCTGCGAATGAGCAGCCAAGTACCTCAGCCACTAAACCACCGCGGCGGGGCCACGACCACAATCGCCCGTGGTTTAAAGCATGGTATACCTATTTCGCAGAATGCAACCATATGCGAAAGCTGCACTGACACAAGCGATTTTGAACTCTGTACGTACTAGAGACGGGATATAGCTATCGCGTTCAACTCTTAAAGGGGCAGCTTGAGATCCACAAATTTTATTTAGGGGTGGGTTATACGCAAGAAAATACAGTAGCGACGTAAACAGCGCATCAACATCTTTATTCACCCCAGTACCTATGAAGGATTCTATCTTATTATATTGGCCCCCGAATGAACAGTGACGATTATGGAGCCATTGTGTCGCAGTTTAAGTGGACAAGGAAGGTGACAAGTATCAGCTCCTGTCATTGTCATCATCCTAGCTTTACACGTCCCTTCGGCGTCATAGGGGCAAGCTATCTAAAGCTTGCAGTCTCTCTTAGGAATTCGCCCAAGATGACTAAAAGGCAGAAGCTATGTTTTTTTTTTCAGTAAATATTTGTTGATCATACCTCAACTCTCGAATATTTCTCCAGCTAGTACGTTTTTGCACGGCTTTCTGGATTGTGACGTCATAGCGTTGTCGTCACGCAAGATTTTGATGATCTGTGACGTCCTGATCACGTCCTAAAGACGCTTTTTTCATGATTCTTTGCGTCACTCGCGTTGACGCCACCATCAGTCAATTTTCGCGTTGGATGAGACCTCTGAGGCTGTCGCCTTTAAAAAAAAATCTATACACCTGGATCAACTACCGCTTCTTCAATGAAATCGAATCACACCAAAGGCTGTAAGAGCCGTAAATTTGAGTGAAGGACCCTCTCCGAGTAGTTCGTTAATAAATTATTTTCTCCTTACGCCTGCAGTCAAAACTGGAGAATGTGTTTGAAGACGGGAAGTAAAGGGAAGCCGTAGGTTGGCAACGTCAAGGACAGGGACAGCTGCGATTTGTTGTCCGTGCGGCAGGTTCCCAAGGTGCCCAGACGCAGTCGTTGAAGGAAGGATATCCCATCGGGTCCATGATAAGGGGCCTAGGTGGCACCACGCCTCCTGTGTACGACTCCAGCTTCTTCAATAACCTGTCCACCACCTGCAGGATAAGCACGCAGTGTCCTTCGATTTGAATAAATGCGTGGGCGAGAATAAAGGCAATGAACATCGGCTACTATAGGGGAACAAGACAAAAAAATACGTTGTTTCGAAAAGTGCATGCCGAAAACCGTAACAGAAAAATGAACTTTCAAAAAGAGAACGAATGGGTGGCGTATTGTCCCATTACTACAACGCATTACAAAGTGCCAAAAACGGGATTTGTTATTCGTCTAAATTAAAAAAAAGTGAGGCACGGCCGCGGATAGCGCTTGCCATAGTGGTCGGGCTTGGCCTGACTGTCCCAACGTGAGAGCGGCACCCTGCTCGTTGAGTCGTGCACCTCAGAGGCTACAATAAAGTTTCGCATCCATCCATTCATTGCCACATCATTAGCACACTAAAAGTGGACGAATTACCAAACAACTTAAGGGTATCGTGCCACACATTTGGGAATATTTTACTCTGTTTGTTCTTCTTTAGGTTTGGATAGCGTTAGCTGGGACGTGATTCACGTGGATGCCCTGTGCAGGGCATACACGTGAATGTCACGCGTTCTGTGACTGTCTTGTTTCTCATTATAACCGTGCGCTTAAAAGAGAGAGAGAGAGAGAGAGAGAGAGAGAGAGAGAGAGAGAGAGAGAGAGAGACGAAAGTAGAATACGTTACTTTTTTAGGGGACCTTTTACTGGCCACGCATGTGGCTCTCTGAAAAAAAGACACGCGTACTCTCTTTGGGTACCCCGGATTTACGAAGAGTGTATGATGAACCACAAAACGAGCTAGTGACCCTAAATGTAGTTTATTTGTCTCTTTAAATCTTTAAAGTCATGTTCAAAAAAGCACGGTTGGAGGAAAGAAGAAGATAACATGGACGCTATTTTCTGCTTCGTAGCGTTCTGGTTACTGAGCTCATAAAAAAATTAAAGCGTAAACACAGGGTAACGTGAGTATCAAACACCCCTCCCCCTTTCCCGCTACGCTCCCAATAGTTTTGAATTTTGCATGTGTATATGTACGCACACCCATGCAAAGGCATGCGCGCACGGTTGAGCCCCTCCCGCCTCTCCCCTGAAAAAAAGTGCATTGGGCTACGCTAGTGATTAATTTTGTTTTGTTAGATCATGTGTTTAGGACCAGCATTTTTGTATTTCTGCGCTTTCTGCCAGCTTGGTGCTGCTTTCACTAATGTGCTCTACTACATTACATTTGTTTGTTTTTCACTTGTATCCTTTTATCGTGCTGCCACATTGTCCTGCGGTTATGACGGTAAACAAGACTATCGCAGCTGGTAAAGATGAAACGAGAACATGTACCCGGAGAGAAGAACCACACTCAAAGTTCCACGACAGCAGCGCAGACGTACAGCCGTCTGTCATCGAGTAATCGACAAACGCTAAAGCACGTCGGCCTTAATTCATGTGGAGTAGCGAAAACCAGGCTTACATTGGTGGCCGCGTCAGCTCGTGACTAAACTGTATACGGTTCGCGTTGAACGCTCAAGATTATCAGAGCGAATCCAAAACAACCGGGAATGTTTGATGTTTCGGCGTGGTGCGCGAAAGACAGTGGTTGCACGTGCAACGAGTCCAGACATATGAAAAAAGAAAAGAAAAAAAAGGAGTGCGCGTATTAATATTTATGAAACACAGACCTACTTAAGCCTACTCATGCGCATTCGATTGCCCCCTTTGATCAAAGCAACGAATGCGTGAGCCCCAGCCAACACAAACAGCTTCGATCGCCTCTTGAACAACCTCGTCTGTACACAAACCCAGTCTCATTCACCCCTCGAATGCTTTCCGTTTTTAAACGAACCCACCTTTCCAACCAGTTCCAGATTTCTCATTGTACTCTTACCGAAGGAAGTGTGGAGGAGAGGTCGTTGAGTTCACAAGGGTCGCTTTCAATGTCGAACAGGTAGCGACCCTCGCTACGCGGGTTGAATCCCGACTGCTGAGGCGAGCACCGAACCGCAGCCTTCACACGCCAGCCGTCTAAAGCTCCTGCAAGACATGGTGCGTCAACGTGCAACTCTTCCAGGGTCTTCCAGGCCAGCGAGGACTTCATCAACAGGTCCAAATACTCCTCCGCCGCCGCCTCGCTTTCAAACTCGGGCATTCCGCCTGGTACCGGGATGTGTTTCTGGAGTGTCTTGTCGTTGAACGGGTTCGTATGGTTGGACTTCGAACTTGTGAATAATAAGAGCTTGTGGTTGCCGTCACGGTAGCCCGACGTCCCAGAAGCAGTGTCGATGTTGATGAGGAATTCGCTGCGAGGCCAGGCTGATGTACTGCCGCTTTTCGCCGTGGATAGCGCTGGCCACAGATCAAGGCCGTCGATGGTGCCCAAGTCACTGACGTTACCGCCTGGTGAGAGAGAATCGTTATTGCAGAGAGACATAGAGCAAGCTCCCTACTGGAGGAAAAAAAATGTTCAGTCATCCTATGTTCACCTATTTGCTAATCTGCATGGAGGAAGGAAGCGACAAAAAAAAAAACCAATGGCAATGTTTCCCATGCATTCCGTATTTCGCGTAGTTGCTTATGAGTGTGGATCAAACCATTAAAAATCAAAATAAAACAAAGCAAGATCTTCTTATAGCTAACATATCCTAATAACCGTCTTAGCAATCAATGTACTATATGAAAAAAATTGACGACAGGCCTAACAAGCGGGTAGGGGGGGAGGGGCTGTTATTGTTATCGCATGCGCACTCCGAGTGACGGAGACGGGCCGGCTCGTTTCGTCTCTGCTTCACACACGTTCGTCGCCATTCTCTCGCAGGTTGAACAAACAGTTCACGACGGCACGTGATCAATTCGGACTTTATACTGTACATAACGGTGACAACGACGGCAGAGATAATTCGAGAGTGTCTATATAATTGCTATCACAATAATACGCGAAAGGGAAAAAAGAAGCAGACAGGTTAACCCGGTAGTATAATAGGTTTGCTACCCTGCACAGGGTGGTGCGAATAGGGATCGGGAATAGGAGATAAATAGAAAGAACAAAAAAACACGCATGCACAAAATCGCAAGACGTTCCGATCATAGCCGTTCTAACAGAACGGTTGAACGCAGAATGTGCGATAGCTAGCGCCCGTACAGCCTTCTTCTGAGGTAAAATCCTGTCGACGGTGCAGAAGCTCGCTGCAAAGTGACTGTTTCCGCGAACAGTACTGTGAGGAGCCTCAGAGAAAATTTAATTAAACTGATGTAATGAAGATAGGCGTAAAAACAGTGATATTGGTGACATCTTACCAACATTCACATGTCTAAGTTCCGGTGCGAAATTCAAGCACGAAACTTTCGCCTTCATTTACACTTCTAATAGGTTAATACCCATGATTGTTAAAATAATGACGTTAGAGTCCTGAAAGAATAACGTATCTCTCTAAAGCATAGGTCGGCAAAACTTGTGGAGCTCGGTCAGACTCACTCATGAAATATCTTTCGAGCTTTTGACTGACTCGGATTCAAACTCACGAGAATTTTTCAGAGACGGACTCAGTCGGACTCAAACTCACCAAAACACTACTCACCCGGACTCACTCAGGCTCATACTCGCGGCTCGATCCGAGTCTGAGTGAGCTCGACTGAGCCGACTGATAAGTGAGTGCGCCGACCTACGGTCTAAAGTGATTCAATGTGTAACTTTATAAGGACCCTCTATGGTTTGTGAAGAGTATACTACATAACCTACATGTTCAGCGTCTCTTTTAGCTATGGCTTAAGAATAGCACTCACCGGCAGCCGAGTAGAGAGTGGGCAGCCAGTCGACCAGGTGAGCGAGTCGGGGCAAAACGACGCCGGTGCCGCGCAGGAGGAGCGGGCTCCAGACAATCGCCGGTACGCGAATGCCGCCTTCCCAGAGCGTGCCCTTGACGCCTCGCAGCGGCCAATTGGAGCCCGTGTTCGAGTACATGCCCCACGGACTACCCCCGTTGTCACTGGCGAACACTACGACGCTGTTGGCGAGCATCCCGCGAGAGTGCAGGGCCTCCACGATACGGCCGACCGCTTCGTCCAATGCGTCCACCGTACCTGGTGAGAAACCGACCCGCGTACAGTTTCTTGGCCACAGAAACTATATGAGCACTCTCGGCATGTTCCGCCGTCGCCGTCGGTGTTGCCGTCATGCTCCGTATAAAGTCCAAATGACACCCTGCGCATCGAATGTTTTCGCTCGAGCGGAGACAGTTGTTCGTCCGCGCTCGTGCATGTACGCTCATTTCGTGCGCGCTTTCTGCATGAGGTGCGCACTGCTAGTTTCGAGCTGATTGCCGTTCTTCGCATAAATTTGCAATTTCTTGCCGTAGTATTCATTACTTCGCCCTTATGGCGATACAGTGCGAAATAAATTTACGCTACTACATCGGTGAAGATGCGTTTCACTTTCGTGTTATACCGCTTCCTAAACAAAGCGATCAGTCACGGTTTTTTGCTATCGCATTCATTGATTTGACCTTGCGAAGAAACAATAATTTTTTCTTCATTATTTTGCAATAAGGACGTGCATATGTGCAATCGTGTACCGTTTAGATCACGCCATATATACTCTGTGACATGTTTTGCATGTATACCGACAGAGGGCACTGATGCGAATATTGTCGATAATGATGATGTGCCGTTCAAATCCATCCATTGTTCTACAGAAGTGTCAAAAGGACAAGGAGAGACCAAGCTTAGTCTGTTGAAGTGCTTTTCAAGACTACGTAGACTTATTTGGCGGCTAGTGTTGTTTTAAAAAAAATGAATGGCTGCGTTTCTCATTTTGTATTTCGCGTAATCAGTTGCCTAGCAATAACCTATTACAGTGAAGTCTTACTTGAGTGCTCAAGTGTGCGCACGAGTGGGGTGGCGCTGCCACGAACATGCAACCCCACCGCCCTCTACGAAGGGAAACCCTACGCACACCTATGCTTGTACGAACGTCGTTTTAACGAATACTTCAGAATAACGAACTTTTAAAAAATACCCGCCACCATTCATGTGCATTATGTGTAAAAATGTTTTCTGTAAAATGAACTTCGAAATAGTGAATACTTCAGTTGAACCAACTGGATCTCTCGACCCAGGGTCATTTTTTAAATAATTCAATATCTTTTCTGCACTCTGCGATGCGTGCCATCCCTTAACCACCCTTTCGTCGGCGGTGGTAGCCCATAGATCGTGCATGCTGCACCACCGTGGCAAAGAGACCGTGCGGGAGACGAAAACTAGCCACGTGCGTTTCAGTACCTGCGCATAACTATCAGATTTGGAAATTGTTTCCAGTCTCTAATCGAAGCTCTAGGATATATAAAAAAAGATGCGAGACTCCGTGTCACAGTAAATTAGCTGTGCCCTTGGCAGCGCACAGAAGCGTATAAAGACTCTCGAGTCTCTGGACACAGTTGTTTCTTCTTGCTCATTAAGGGCGCCATTCCGAATGAACATTACCTATTATATTCAAAATATATTGCATTTCACGCATTTGGCTTTACTTCTGCTGTGTACGATTCGGATCAGTATTCTAGCAAATATTCAGCTTGGACAATTTTTTGTATTCCTTGAAGTTCGCCCAAGTTAGAGTTCGCTGCATTACATTCCAAGCTTTTCAGTCCCTGGCGTACAGCGTAGCCAGGAGGGCAGAGGTAGGGGCCTTTTCTATCCCCGAAGTTTTTTAGTTTAACAATTGCAAATAGAGGCTCTCGTACAAATACATGCAAAGATATGCTTGAACTTTCTGTAAGGATTGTTGAAATCACTCTTCCTTCCGTACGTTTCTCCTTTCCTTCGGCAACGCCTCTGCTCTTCGTATATTTACACACACAGACACACACACACACACACACACACACACACACACACACACGCACGCACACACAGAGACACGCACGCACGCACGCACACACACAGACACGCACGCACACACACACACACGCACGCACAGACACACACACACAGACACACACGCACGCACACACACAGACACACAGACACACACGCACGCACACACACACACACACACACAGACACACACACAGACACACACACAGACACACACACACATACAGACACACAGACACACACAACAGACACCCACAGACACACACACACATACAGACACACAGACAGCCACCACGCACACACGCACGCACGCCCACACACACACACAGACAGACACACAGACAGACACACACACACACAGACAGACAGACAGACAGACAGACAGACAGACAGACAGACAGACAGATAGATAGATAGATAGATAGATAGATAGATAGATAGATAGATAGATAGATAGATAGCTAGATAGATAGATAGATAGATAGATAGATAGATAGATAGATAGATAGATAGATAGATAGATAGATAGATAGATAGATAGATAGATAGATAGATAGATAGATAGATAGATAGATAGATCTACTTGAAGACGACCGGTGCGAATAGCAGCACACATTGTTAAAGTGTCACTGCTTGTACATTGTGCTCAGCTCACCCGCGAGAAGCGTCCTGTTACGATCGCCGATGTACGGAAACTTGGCCAGGTTCCTTTCCGGCGCATCGGTCGTCCGAGTCATCGTCTCGCCATGCGCCGCCAGGGAAGCCATGTACATGAACAGCGGCTGTAGGGCACACAAGAGCAAAGCGTATATTTCAAACGAGGCGCAATTGCCTCTGCCTGACTTCTTTTTATTCGCAAACGAAAGAAGGTTGACTTACCAACGAGTGGTAATTTGTTTTCTTGCTATCCAGGATTGTTATAGGGCACGTTAAGTCGGCTCGAAATGATTCGTCGCGTCGGATGCTATGCATCCTGAAAATTAGGTCTTACCTTGCAGTTCCTCATTCATATTCTCATTCATATTCATATTCCTCATTCCTCATTGCTTTCCGACGCACACTTGACCGTATCACTCTGCTACATAAGATTGTACGCAGCCGCAGTTGCATTGAAGCACCGATTACTCTTTGTGATTCAGCACGACGAACCACGCACCGATCTCACCCACTCAACATTGTTCCCTTCCAGCCATTTGTAAATTGATTTAAGCATTCCTTTTTTCCAGCCGTTGTTGAGATTTGGAACAACCTAGATGGATCCCTACGCGAAAAACCAATTGAACTGTTTTTGAAAGAACTGCCTAACCATATTTTGTAATATGTTTTAAATGCTTTGTATGTTTCTTTGGTATTGCTTAATGTATGTTCGTTCCTTTTCCTAATGTACCCACTCCTGCCATGTCTCGTGTATCGAGACAGCAGTATCTGTAAATAAATAAATAAATATACACATACACTACAACCTTGAGACAAAGTACACTGACCATTGCCATCCGAAAACGCTTTGCGTCTGCGCCGTCAAGTGGCGAGCTGTCTTGCGGTCGAAAGCATTTGTCTGACATGTCGGCAGAGCGATGCTCTTGGCAGCAGACGGTTCGCCCCATAGATGGCGTAGACGGCGATTTCGTCATGCACTTCCATGGTCAGTGCCCTTTTGCTCACGGGTGTACACACACCTGAGTACGGCACTTACTACCAATTGCTTGTTGTGTGCGCAGGATTCCGTCTACTGTCGACCGCGAAAGTTTGCGGGATCTGCAGCACGTGGCGGAGCGACGAAAAACTAGAATCACTGTATAAGCTACCTTTAGGTCGTTGCGTATGCTAGCCAAGGGTAGGCCCCGCCGCGGTGCTAGTGGCAAAGGTGCTCGGCTGCTGACCCGCAGGTCGCGAGATCAAATCCCGGCTGCGGCGGCCTGATTTTTCGATGGAGGCGAAAATGCCGAGGCCCGTGTGCTCAGATTTGGGTGCACGTTAAAGAACCCCAGGTGGTCGAAATTTTCGGGGCCCTCTACTACGGTGTCTCTCATAATCATATGGCGGTTTTGGGACGTTAAACCCCACATATCAATCATTACCTAATGGTAGCATATACAGTAGTTCTATACGAAAAACTGCATCACTGCCGCTGCGTCACCTATATATCGTGACACGGCGGGTGTTGAAACTATCGGACTCGGTGATTAGCGATGGCACGATTAGACAACGCGACACGCCGGCTTTTATCGTGGAGGCTGCTGTCCATATCTTCAACACCCACCGCTTCACAGTAGGTGGCGCAGCGATGTTATTTTTTGTCGTTCCGCCACGTGCGGCAGATTTCGCGAAATTCTGCGGCCAGCAGTACATAAATGGCAATGCGCATGCGCAAACTCAACCAGTGAAGCGTAAGTGCAATAATCAACCAAGAACACGCACGAGTAACAGAAGCCACCGAACATAACAACGCAAAGAAAAAAAAAGCAGGCCATCAGCACTCTAATTTTCTACCGTAAAGAAAAGCCATCCCTTTAGCCAACGATGACAGAAATTGCTCACCAGCACACTGATTAGAAGGGGTGTGGTCGTAAGTACATGTGTATGTGAATACGTGTATGAATAAGGGTTGGTTTGTGGGGTTTAACGTCCCAAAACCACCATATGATTATGAGAGACGCCGTAGTGGAGGGCTCCGGAAATTTTGACCACCTGGGGTTCTTTAACGTGCACCCAAATTTGAGTACACGGGCCTACAACATTTCCGCCTCCATCGGAATTGCAGCCGCCACAGCCGGGATTCGATCCCGCGACCTGCGGGTCAGCAGCCGAGTACCTTAGACACTAGACCACCGTGGAGGGGCTGTATGAATAAGGGGGCGCTAATTTCAAGATGCCATTGTTTTACCAAATAGCCAAACACAGCAAGGTCTAAAAGCGCGCAGTGCACAGCACACTTTCGGGTCGGCATCTCGCTGCAACCTCGAGCGCAGGTGTTTTCTCAATAATAATAAAAAGTTTTAGAACCGGGCCCCCACCCGCCCACGTATACGCACGCTCTTGCGTTCCTTTGTACTCCCAGCTGCACCTGTAGAGAATACAAAGGAACGCGAAAGCATTTGTGTGCAGGCAGCTTGGGGTACCCGGAACTGAAGCTCTCCGTTAATTATTGTGGTTTAACGCCCGAAAAACCCCCGATGTGATTATGAGCGACGCCGTAGCGGAGGGCTCCGGAAATTGTGACCACCTGGGGTTCTCTAAGGTGCACCTCAATCTAAGCAAATGGGTCTCAAGCATTTTCGCCTGCATAGGAAATGCGGCCGCCAGGGCCGGGATTCGATCCCGCGACCTTCGGGTCAGCACTCAAGCACCAGGACCACTGGACTGCGAATAAGTTGCACCCTGAATTTCGATATTAGGGCTGGCTTGAGAGGGTTGCGCACGAGTGCCTTTTTGAGTGGCGTACAGGGTTAGTGAGGAATCATTTATGAAGCTAGGGTATGCAGGAGGGAGGATTAAGGGGATCCTGTTTGTGAGAGGAGGAGTGTCAGGCGGTGCCCGAGAGAGTGAGCGGGTGTATGAATTCCCGCGAGTGCGATGCCTGCGTCAAACGACAGCGACTCCAACCTTGTCCGTGTCGTGCTTGGAGATGATGTCGACTGCCCTGTTCGTGATGAGGTCAGTGTCGTACACGCCGTCCGCATCGGTCACCAGCTGCTCGTCGTCCCAGTAGTCACGGCCACATCTGTTGTCCTGAAAAAAAGTAGTAATATTAAAGCAACGATAATGACTAGCCTATTCAAATACTGCTTCTTCCGCGCACTAATAATAAATAGAACAAATTTCCTTTGCAAAAGCTGTATTATTTTACTTTTCACACGTTAATTGCTTTAATGCTGTGTTCTTATAGACGTATTCTGCCGTTTTTTTTTTCAGTTTTATGCTCGAAACTGTATTGTTGTTTAACGTTGCGTTCTTATAGAAGTCTTTTGCTATTTTTCCAGTTTTATGCTCGAAACTTTATTGTTGATTTTAAAGGATTGTTTTACTTTTGTTGACCCGTTGTACAGCCGCGGCCACGTCTATGCATAACGCGCGAGCAGCCGGTTTCGTAGCGACACCTTTCGACCGTTGCGGGTTGTCACGTCGCGTTCACAGGAGCATGCTCGGCCTTGGAAGCATGCAGGCCTGCTCTGCACGGGTTAAAACGTTGGAAGTACAGTGTAGTTGTATGGTATGCTTGTTTAACCAGATAACCGCGCTCGCTCAGGGCGCTTTCGTCATATGCATTTCATAAGACGAAGCGCGTGTTTTTTTTTTTTTTTGCTTTGATATCGCTATAAGCATGTGCAGTTGGCAGGTGTTCTAGCCAGCGGTATCCTCTACCCACTTGTTGGAAATGTTGTGCAATTTTTTTTTTATGCAGTGGCTGACGACGATGAAGAAGTATACCGGTGTGATTTCTACGGATAACAAAATTCGTCCCAGGAATATCGCCAAGTAATCAATACTGCTATAACAGGTATGCGTGAAGTGGGAATGCGCCGCAGTTATTAGGTGATCGAGAACAAGTTTTCTAGCTGATTGGAGCATAGGACAACCCAGTCGTTACGCAATTTTTTGCCCCGCCGCGGTGGTCTAGTGGCTAAGGTACTCGGCTGCTGACCCGCAGGGCACGGGTTCGAATCCCGGCTGCGGCGGCTGCATTTCCGATGGAGGCGGAAATGTTGTAGGCCCGTGTGCTCAGATTTGGGTGCACGTTAAAGAACCCCAGGTGGTCGAAATTTCCGGAGCCCTCCACTACGGCGTCTCTCATAATCATGTAGTGGTTTTGGGACGTTAAACTCCACATATCAATCAATCAATCAAATAAATTACGCAATTTGCACTGTGTGACACCTGGCTGTTCCTTTGATGCTATAAAACGCTTTATTACTCATATTAACGTGATTCCTTTCCTGAAATCAAGCCTGCCTAAGGCCAGTCTAGATAATGGGTTCCAAGCAATGGCGTGGCTTATTAGAATACTGGGTGGACACAACTACAAAACTGCGCGAAAAAGCGACAACAGAGAAGGCACACACACAATCGCAGACTAGCAACTGAAAGTTTATGGAAGGATACTCATATATAACTGTGTATCCTATATATAGCGTGTGCCTTCTCTGTTTCTTCTCGCTTTCTCGCGCAGTTTTGTAGTTATGAATCACCAACCTTCTCAGCGTTCAGTACTCTTAAATGGGTAGACATGTAGCGGAGCTGGGCTGTAATTCCATTGCGTCTTTAATGTTGTTTATTTACCTAATTATTTTCGTTCGATACTGGTTATGGACGGCGGCGGCAGCGGATAACTACGGCACCGCGCATGACCCGTCTTCTGATCTCATAACAGCTTCCGCTGTAAAAGAGCCAAATTTTACACATTGTCATGATACAAAACGAAAACTATGCGACTTGGTATAAAACTCGTCACATATTTGAAATCAGCATGGAAAACCTATGTAAAGAGTGAAAATTCCATTACGCTATAGATTAAAAAAAACTTTTTTTTTCGAGTAGCATCTCCTTCTTAACAGTGTTCAAGAGTAAAGAGCCTACATGACCGGCCGTTTCATCTATAGTCTCCCTGTTGAAGGACAGGATGCCATATGATGCGCGCCTTTTGAATAGGCTGCGTTGATGCACGCTTATCGAGGCACACTATTCATAGGGAATACAAGACACCGCTCCGCAGGCCTTAACACGATCTGAGCAAAAACTTGACCTTCTCTGAAATCCCTCGTGGGGTACCACCTAGAGGGTACTCTCCCCCATTATCACAAAACAGGCGCGAAGGCTAGCTGACGGGGAGAGTGTGAAAAGGCGAGAGGAGTGGTTGGTGAACGGCTGGATCGGGCACATCTGACTGGCATTGAAGACATTGATCTCGTGTAATGATATCCATACGGAATTCACGCGTCTTTTTGAACTGAGTCACATACGTTGCATGACAGGATCTAAAGATACAGATGACTCTTTTTGTTTGTTTTTGTTTTCTTATGCAGTACTTCTCTCCTCTTCGGTCAGTTTTGAAGTCATCACCTGTTGGCCACGTCTCATTACCGTCATGTCTTATCGACTCTTTTTGCAAAGTAAGGTGTCCACTCAGGGTAGTAATAAGCGCAGTTCGTCTACGTATGAAAATCCAAGCGACAAATACAGTGCAGTAATGAGACAACCATGCAAATATTTGCGTGAGTCGGCCAGCGAAGGAGCGCTGAGACGAAAAGAACTCACGAAATTCAATGCAGCGAAATAGTAGTACTTTGCAGTGTTGTAGTAGCCGAAGAAAGTGTCGAAACCTCGCCTCGTGGGAGTATAGTCGATGCTGGAGTAGCCAAGGTGCCACTGTGGTGAAGAACAGTGTATCAGAACACGTTAAATGATTTAGTCTTCGTTCATTCGACGAACGATCCCAGCAATCGTACTCGTAGCCGTTCTGAGAGTGCGTCATATGAGCTGGGTATAGCCGAAGCGCAATGATAACATGCGCCCTTCACACGCATCGTGAACAAACACTGCTAGAATTTCGCATATTAGTGGCTAGAACGTACACAAAGCTTCCTATAGAGTTCGAGTTCGGCTGAGCGTCAATCAGTTCACGTACACTAGGGCCTCATCTGACATAGTAGCTGCAGCCAGGTTTACGTAACGTTTCAGCCACTAGACATTTTTCACGTTGAAATGGAGGCATAATGCGAAAGGCATGAATGTGGTCTATTGATAGTGTGAATGCGGTAATTTCTCGAGTAGCCTGTACAAATTCCTGCTTGGCCTTTTGGTTGTTTGAATTCTAATGCCTTAATTCCGTTAGCTACTATATTTGTAAATGGCCTGTAGACGACAGACAGTAAGCTGATATGTTTGTAATTTCTCGCGTCCTTGGCGTTCCTTTTCTGATATTATCACTCTCCCTAAATCCTGGTTCCCTCTATTAAGAGACACTTCATATACCTATAAGGTGGATGAACTTTTAGCAGCACAATTTCTCCGCCGTTAGTAGAATATCTATCACTATATTTATTTTACCCTACCGCAGACAAAGGAAAACAAATACAAAAAAACACGCAGAGTCAGCGTTATTGAGATCAGTTATTTTGGATAAGTTTCTCAAAGCATATATAAGCTGCAAGGACATAGAATGCCTCTCCGTTTTATATAACATTTGATAAGGTGTTCAACTATAGGAACTATAGTGACATATATTAAAGAAAAAAAATTCCCCCATTGCCTTTCACAATCTGCTCTACTCACAAAAAGCGCACACTATATATATGTACATACGCTTACTTTTCCCAGAGCGTGTGTCTTGTAACCGAGGTCCTTGAGGCGTTCGGCTAATGTAGGGACGCTCAGGTTCATGCCTCCCGGCTGGGCAGGCAGCAACACATCGCGCTGCATACCTGCAAAGCAGACCGAGAGTTTCCCTCATACTATACAAGGCAAAACATGCAACAACATCACCTCAACGACTCATACAGCAGCGCAAAAGACGAGAGCCAGAAAAAGATTATCTTTCTTTGTGCCGTCTGTTGCTCCGTTCTTCAGGTATCATGCATTTCAACAAAATCACCGTGTCTACGTCGTATACTTCAGTATTTGCTGTCGTAGGCCGCGCGCAAGAAACACAACACGGTTCTTTGTTATGAGCGCATTTCGCCTATAATAGACCCGCAGTCAAGTTGGAAGAGCATTGTAACATTCTGGCAGCTCTAAAGAGGCACGCTACATGACGGTAAACAACCTGACATCGGCGAAGTTCTCCCCATGCAGAAGTTGGATTTATTGTAACAGTATTCTGCCGAAGTGAACTTTCAATAAATAAATCTTAGATTTTGAATATAACAACTATTCATCTTGTACACCTCCCTGAATACACCACTATATCGTCTTCCACCTCCCCTTACCTCCACTAATAGTATCCTATTATCCTTGGTAACTAATACTAACAAGATACTATTTAAAACTACTTAAATACTACCATGGTCCCTCAATACTTGGACCATGATACTACTTAATACTGGCTGTAGGTACTACCTAAAAGATACTATCTTCAGCTAATGTACTTCGAGTCATGGTGCACCAGACTATGGTATAAGACATCGCACCTGGCGAGGTCACCCAGCCACAGCGAGACTATGCAAAAGGAGGATATAAAGCTGGGCTAAATGTGGTGACCGTATTCTAAACACTTTTAAAACAGCGCATCGATGACGTGGACGAAAGTAAAATGGGGACAAACTACAGCGTGGAATCGCAACTGAATACTTATTGAAAGCACATGAAAGAAAAAAAATGGGGGGGGGGGGGCTACTTCATCTCTCCCACCCATGTGTCCGCACCACAGCAAAACAAAACCAAGGAAAAAACAACAACAAACCAGCAGTGCACCATGAACCACAGTTAGCGCTGTGTTCTGTCTTCTTCGAAACTTTATTGTTTATCCTGTACATGAAGCGAATGCGTCAGCCTGGATATTCCCTTTTTTTTTTTACTTCCGCCCCCGTCATTGTTGCACTGTTTAAAAAATGTTCAAGCACTGAGCAAGACCAGAAGTCATCTATGAAGTGCTTCAACACTTTTCTTTCTGTCGAGGCCGTAAACAATAGGGGTGAACTTGAGTTATCCCAGGAACACGATGAGTTACAGGAAAAGTAATTACATATTTGAAATAAGCCGAAAAAAAAACTGCGCAAGCCTGTGTAGTTTGATCCAGATCGCTGAAGAAATAAACTAAGATGCTGCTCCCTTAACGCTGCTGCCCGCCAGCGAACTACGCGAACTCGAATCGTCATCCACTGTATTGGCTCAATGGCGACGATTTCCCGCTGCATGAGGGTACGGGTTCAACCACTGGTGATGGCAGTCCCATTTCGCAGCGCCCTTCGCAGTAACCCGCCTTGGCACGGCCCGTTAGCGTATCAGGATATTGAGACATAAAGGTTCCATATTCATTGTTAAGATCGTTCTTATTATACATATGTCCACATCGTATGTTTATCCATGGCCATTGATCTGCAGTGCATGCGTGTATATGAGCGTACTGTATACACGAACTAAACGTGAGACCGACTTTTTTTTTTTTAGTATTACAGCTGCTATGCACAATCAATCCAAATAATCACGTCATGACAGGACGAATCTGGTCTCTATGATGTTGGCTCTCGTCTACGTGTTTTAGTTTATATTAGGCCGATATGACCCAAACTGAAGACGGTAGAAAAGAAAGCGTGCGCGTTAATTAGCTCTAATTTGCACCGTTGCAATCCGCGTGTACTGTACAAGCTCTGAAACGTAAGGCCACCATATCCTGCTATTGAGTGCACAAAGGGTCATTTGTATGCGGCTTTAGAATTTGACCTGTGCATCGGGTTTCGATGATCAACAACTTCGCTTGGCGATATGTTATGTAAATTACGTTCTTATTTAGAAAGGGGAGTGGGTTCAGGGGGGGGGGGGGGGCACTCAGGTCAGTTCAATAGGGAAACACTAAGCTCTTAATCGAGTCCTTAACCTTACCCTTCATGGCAACAACTCTATGAGAATGTGACGATGTGTATCGGAAGTGTTAACTACATAATTTGTTAGCAGTGCCACCACTCTTAACTTTTGGTTACGTGTAAAGATGTGCGCATGTAATGTCGAATTAGGTTTGCCCGCGAACGGGCCACTAGGGTCGGCTTGGCGGTCCCTAGGCGGGACTAGCCGTTTGGCACGGGGTCTTACCTGCGTTTTTTCTGTACCCAAATAAAGTTTTCATCGTCGTTATCCCTCGTTTGTATTCACGAGAATCGTGACTCGCTAACTCGAGAAATTGCTCGCGACAACGGGCTAAGAAGATGGCGCAGTCATGAATGCCCTTACCCATCCTGATTGGGTAGAGGCCTGTCAGAAGAGCCGCCCTGGATGGCGTACATGTTTGCATTGTGTAGTGCTGCGTCAGCAGGAGGCCGTTGGCTGCCAGTGCGTCCAAGTTAGGCGTGGGGATTTGGTAGCCACCCACAAGGCTTGTGTCAGCCCAACCCTGCGCCACGTTTCCAGTCGCATATTGCTGTCGCGTGACAGTCGCAAGATGCCGCGGTGGGCTAGCTAACTTGAGACACGTAGAAACACGGCGATGGCACTAGTGAACATCGTCTGTGCCGCTGCCTACCTTTTGAAGGGTCTTTAGCTTACGCATTATTGCAAGCAAGAGCTTACAAAAGCGCTATTAAGTTTCTCAACGGCGACCGGACTATTATGGCCTCTTGCGAACCATTGACGCGAGCACCAAGCGTTCACATTACCAGCCTCTTTGTTAGTTGTTGTGATATTACAGTTGAATTATATCGAACTTGGTTAACAGCGCATAAACACGTACACAAGGAAGGAGGAAACAAGCAGCAGGGCACTTCCATGTGTCCTTGCTTCTAATGTTGAGGTTTTAACCAAGTTTAAGATGGACCCCAACCAATTAGCCCGACTTGCCGTCTTACAGTTAAGTCCCCTTATAAAAGGCACTGATATAAGAGACAAGTGGGGTATAAGACACACTATAGTGTACTGTATTGAAATATGGTTTCATTAGAAGATGAGACCCTGGTACCCTGCTTATAATAAACGCTTCGTACGTGTAAGGCACAACTGCTTCCCAATGCATGTCTCTTATGAAGGGGCCCAGCTGTACAACGTTGAGTAACGTATTTACACCAAGGGTGGGAATTCCAACTAAAAAAAAAAACAGGTAATGTCAGCACGGTACGCAAGCTACACTGCTTTGCACTCCGTGGCTCTATTTACCCACTCTATCCTTACCGATGTCCTTCCTGTAGAGGACGTCAGAGCTTGTATCATTTCATGTGGGAATGCCCTGAGCCTCTAGGCCTACATCGAATCCTCACTGCCTCCATCTATCAGTAGGAAGGCACTCTTTTCAGCACAGCTCTGAACGACCGGCGAAGACTGATTGACTGGGCCAGCTGGATAGCAGCAGCAAATGAGAGACTAGACTGAGGGTTCTCCCCTCTGCGACTTCACAAACGAAAATTAACGTTTTCGACTACTACTACTACTACTACTACTACTACTACTACTACTACTACTACTACTACTACTACTACTACTACTACTACTGATACCAACATTGTTTATCTATTCTACGTACGATTCACTCCCCCTCCTTATTTGCAGGGTACCAAACAGGCCACGTTCTCAGTCAAACTCTCTGCCCTTCCTTCTTCGTTTCTCTCTCTCAAAGGACAGGGTATAGCAATTTGAGAGGACGCTCTGTTCAGCTTTACGAGGCATCACGCGCAACCAAAGACCGCACTTACCACGTCGTCCGCTAGAATAAAGACCATGTTGGGAGGTTTCTCGATGGTAAGAACCGTCGACGGTGTCACAAATGCGAGCAAAATGAGGATCATGCTGAAACGCAAGTCAAATACGTTTAATCTTTCGGCCTTGTTGGTGCGTCGCGCTTGCGATAGCGACTGGGCTAAAAGGGTTACAGCTAGTAAAGCAAACGTATTTTTTTTTTTCGTAAACGCCAGCTGGCGCGGGAAAAGGGGAGGGGCCGAACGGGAGAGCTGCAGCGTATGCGGTGTAAGAACGACACGAAGCGAAGAGAATCACGTTTTACTATGAGCTCCAAATGGATAACTAAATAAAGAAACTGTACTTGTACTAAGCAAGCAACATCTTATCGCATACAAAAAGAAAGCATTCAACAAGATATGTAACACAAATGTAGCCCATAGTGGGTGGTGACGGTAGGAACATAGGAGCAAACTCAGTTCAAGGATAACGTGATCGATCATAGTGAGTAACGTACATTCTTACTCAAAGACATGTAGTGGGCGACTTGACAGGCGACGTAATGTCATAGGTACGATTTTACAGATATCCGTCAAGTATATTCCTTGAGCATATTGTTTTGTCTCTATCGCAGAAATTATTTGATGTGATTCTTAACAAGCTAGATGAACGTGATGGAATTATTAAATTATACACTATTGTAACTCATACCATGGCCACTCGCTATACATCAAGCAGCCGTGCTCATACGGGACGTCACATGCGTACAATATAACAGTCGCACGCTTGTTAATATTTTTTTTTCAGATATTCAGTCTCACCAGAACAAATCTCCACACATTTTAGGTCTTCTGCGTGTATTTCTTTTGCAACCTCCTTTGCGAATTCCTACTTATGCATCTGGGACTTTAGAACTCATTTCAGTTTCACGCCCTGAATAACGGAAGAGTGGGGGAAAAAACACAATAATCCAAGAACATTTTTCCTTCACACTGGCGTAACCATGGAGGGGAGGAGGGGTACGTTAACTTTAACTACACTTTTGTAATTGTCATGAACAGTGACGTCAGTCTGCTCATCTGCTAATTGCGCTCATCAGTGCTTTGGGTTCGCCGATGACATTCATTACGCCAGAATAATTACTAAAGGGTGTTCTTTCTGTATCGCAAAGCTGCAATGGGTTTTTTTTTTTTTTTGCATGAAGAACTTCAGTTCTCTCGTTTGACAAAACCACCTAACTCCACTAAATCAATATTTAGTTAATGTAACCTTATTATTATTATTATTATTATTATTATTATTATTATTATTATTATTATTATTATTATTATTATTATTATTATTATTATTATTATTATTATTATTATTATTATTATTATTATTATTATTATTATTATTATTATTATTATTATTATTATTATTATTATTATTATTAGTCCCAAATGGTGGATTTAACCATCTTAATATTCCTGCCGCTACAGAAGGATAAAGTCTGAAGGCACCGAAGATATATCGCATTTCCTTGATTTTTCGAGTAGATTGGACACATTATAAACCTACGCACGAACATACAGAGTATAGTGAAACTCCCCCCACCCACCCCTCCAACGAAAGAAATTTCTGGCTACGTTGCTGTTCTTTAGTGAACTCATAGGCATATTCTATGATCCGGTCTAGCAGGAGCTCCCGAGTCTTTGCTCCGAATCGCTGAAAGAAGAGTTACCTCCCCCATCTATAGCCTTACGGAAATGTCCTTGGCCCTGGCAGCTGCGGGACATTATTTTGCAGATACCTGCTGCCACTGCAGTATGGTGGCTCTAGCCACCATAACTGCAGCTGTGACTCCGTTTTTCAGCTATTCGACGAAGGACTAGCTCCTTTACTACCAGCCTATTATTATGGCAACTATATTAATCCAGTGCACTATGCATATCGTGACGTCATCAAGCGGGGACGCGTTAGAAACGTCGCACGCGTAATTCTGATGGTGCTGATGGCGCAACCATTTGTAAAGAGCGTGGTGCTGTCTTTCACCTCATCATAGCTTTCCCACAAAAAAAAAAGAAAGAAAAGGTGAACAAAAGCAGGATTACGTCATCAACTGCATACTGCACGATGTGCGAGCACTTTTCGAGTACTCCTTGAAGTGCGTTATACAGTACAACCTCGGTGAAACTAATCTCGAGGGCTCACCAAAAATATTCGCATCATCCGCAATTCGTATAAGCTGAAAGCATAGAAAATTAGTATGCGACAAAAAAAAAAGTGGCACACGTTTTCATTTATGGTTTCTCGGGATTGCCGCAACATCATGAACAGCTCCGAATAATCGGCATTAAATTTTTAACAACGGCGTCTATACTTGAAAATCGGTAAAAATACGGCGTGTGCGCGCGCGTGTAATTTATGAACCGGATGCGGTGTGACCCATTAAACGTCGAGGATTGAAAATCGGTGAGCAACAACCGCATTCCTTGAAAGTGCAGGCTAAGTGGTTATGGCCGGGACCACAAACGAAAAAAATCACAGCACCACAAAGTTTTTACGAGCCGTGATCATATACCTCCAAAGTTCTGCTGTATACGAGTTCATGATAATAACAGGCACTTCAATAGGGGTCCTGTGTTTCGGTCCTGTGCTTGAAATGCTGCCAGGTTATACCCGCAAACTTCCTAATTTCATTCTTCTTAAGTTGGGGACACACAATACACTAGGCGAGCTGTTCGAGGCAGATTGGGTCAGTCAGCGCCAACGCCTCCTACTCACCACTACTGGGCGCAATCTCCTCTCCCGCTTCGGATATCCCGTCCCACCACTTGAGATTGAAACACGCCCCACGCCCTTATCGCCTGCGATACTGTTCATCCCTTACCCTGTAACATGCACCTCCAGCATGACAAGGGCTGGCGCAAATACATTTGTATGCATGCCGAATGCCCTAAGGAGTAAGAGTCTCTGTCAAGCCACATGACCTTTAGCTCTTGCTCCTCTTTCTGTAAAACGAAATAAATAAATAAATAAATAAATAAATAAATAAATAAATTGTAATGAATTAATGAATCTGAATAACGGACGCTCGACTGGCAATGAAGAAGACGATGATGATCGGTGGCTGCAGTAGTAGCTCGCGCACGCCGCTCGCCATTAGCAGACCTGCCTGATAAAGGACATTTTGCCAAGCTACGTCTGAACCTTTCTCGACGTACCACACCTCTATTTTAAGTGGTGGAGGAGCCGGGGTTCCCATAAACCTGGAACTTCGCAATCGGACGCTACCCTCACCCTTCACCATGACTGCTCCTGGCCCTTCTCAAGCTGCCTTACCAACGACAGTCTACTGTACTGGCGCGCCTCGGCAACGCGACCCACCAATTTTTCGCGGCAACGATGAACAAGACGTCGAGGACTGGCTCTTCGAGTACGAAATCGTAAGCGCTTCCAACAAGTGGAACGCCTGCGACCAGCTCACAAACGTGCGCTTTTACCTCGCTGATGTGGCCAGCCTCTGGTTCAAGAACCACGAAGGCGAAATTACCAACTGGTCCGCCTTCAAGACCACCATCTCCGCGGTCTTCGGCCGTCCCGCCGTGCGCCGGCTTCACGCGGAACAGCGTCTCCGTAGTCGAGTCCAGCGCAGGGACGAGACCTTTACGAGTTACATTGAAGATGTCTTGTCTCTTTGCAAGCGCGTCGATGAATCTCTAACCGAACGCGACAAAATCAAGCACACCATCAAAGGAGTTGACGACGACACCTTCCGGATGCTCGTCTCTAGGAATCCACAGACCGTCACAGATGTTGTCCAGCTCTGTCAGGAGTACGACGAGTTGCGTAAGCAGCGTGCCTCGACGCGCAGGGCCGCAGAAGATACGGCTGAAGTTTCCGCCCTCGTACACGACGTCGCTGCTAATCACACCGTCTTACTGCCCCAAATCAAACAATTCACTCGTGAGGAAGTTGCGCATCAGCTTTCTCTTGTGGCCGAAGCATCCGCGCCAGTGACCTCGTTAGACCCATGTCTACGCCAGGTCATTGAGACACAGGTCACGCAGGCACTGCCTCCATCGCCACCTGTCCCTACGCCGCTGACCTACGCTGCCGTCGTTGCTAGACCCCCCGCCCCACCTGTCTCTGGCGCATACCGGGGCACCGGGTCCTCCTACCCTACGACGCTGCCTACATACACGGCACCCCATCCCGTTTCACCCCCTGCACCTTCTGTCGTTAACCCATGGCGCACCTTAGATAATTGACCCATCTGTTTCGCATGCGGTTTCGTGGGACATATAGCACGCTACTGTCGCCGTCGCAACTTCCAGCCTCCAGACCATGGGAATTCTGCAAATTACCAGGCTGCCCAGAATCACCAGCGACCATCTTCTCCTATCACCGGCTCATTGTCCCCACGACGCCCCGTCGATTCTCGCCGGTCATTACCACCCCGTCGCCGATCTGTCTCCCCGATGCTTCGGCGCACGAGCCCCGCTCGAGAGGAAAACTGACAGCCGCAGTTCCGGAGGCAAGAACTGCGTCGTCGTCGAACTTTCTAAGGCCTCCTCTTTGTCCGACCAACGAAATTGATGTGCTAGTAGAAGGTGTTGCTGTACGTGCACTTGTCGACACAGGCGCCGTCGTTTCTGTAATTAGTGAAAAACTGTGTCGCGACTTGAGAAAAGTTACAACGCCGCTTACGAATCTTGTTCTGCGTACAGCCACCTCCCATTTCATCGCACCGACAGCTCAGTGCACAGCACGCGTTCTTATTGAAGATGTTTGGTACGCCGTCAACTTTGTTGTTCTCCCACGTTCATCTTACGACGTCATACTAGGATGGGATTTCCTTTCAACCCATCAGGCCCTCGTCGACTGCGCTCGTGCTGAACTCACGTTGACGAATCCGTGCCTTGATATCGACCACCACAGTCCCTCGAAAGTGTTTGCCGCAGCTGACGTCCGCATCGCGCCGTTGTCCGCCGTCCTAGTGCCTGTGTTTTCCCCTGCTGCCACTAACTCGACGCTCCTGTTCCAACCAACTATAGCTAGTGTGCAACACCGAACCATCGTCCTCCCGTTTGCCGTCATCAACTTTTCCAATGGTTCGGCGGTACTTTATGCGTGCAACGTTTCTGCTTGTCCGTACATCCTGCTACGCGGTGAGTGTC